TCCTTCCTTCCTTCCTTCCTTCCTTCCTTCCTTCCTTCCTTCCTTCCATTTCTTTCGATAATTTACTACAGAAGACTCAGGGCTTTTGGGTTCCTCAGCTGAAGACTTATTTTGGCACAAAAAGACATGTGCTTCACTTAAAAGCTTGGGAAGATGGGAGAGATACAGGAAAGGGGAACTATAAGAAATCTTTGGTGGTTACTATATTAAAAATACATAACATTTTTAATATAGTATATTAAAAATACATAATATTAAGGTCAGGCATGTGTTTCATCCCTGTAATCCCAATGTCTTGAGAGACCAAGGTGGAGGATGACTTGAGTTTAGGTGTTCGAGACAAGCCTAGGCAACATAGGGAGACCTTGCCTCTACTATTTTTTTTTTTTTTAAAGCAGTTGGGTGTGGTGGCGTGTATCTATAGATGCCATGACTTGGGAGGCAGAGGTGGGAGGATCACTTGAGCCCAGGAGGTTGAGGCCACAGTGAGCCATGATCACACCACTGCACTCTAGCCTGGGCAGCAGAGCGAGACCCTGTCTCAAAAATAACCAACCAACCAACCAAACAACAACAACAAAAAACCAAATCCACATTATAGTACATGTGATATATGTAAAACGTTACATATAAAAATTATCTTCACCTATAAAATTAATAGTGGCAACAATAACTAAAATATGTTGTCACGAGAAGAATTTTCTGTGGAGTCTACCTAATAAAATCTAAGAATGAGCTAGTGATTGTAATAAGTGGATGCATACTGTGTGCCTAGGTTTTATACACTTACTCCTACTTAATCGTCATTGTTAGAGGAGGAAAGTAAGACTCAGGGAGGTCAAGGCCATGTAGCTGGTGAGTGGTGGAGCCAGCTTTCAGACCCAGGTCTACCTGTGAGCAGAGAGCTCTTTTCATGCCTCCGTGTTGTAACAGGTTCCAGGCATGGGTATTACAGTCTCAGGGATTACATGATTCTTTTGAAGCACCCCTGACTGCATGCTGAAATGTGCCATTCTATGTGACATGAGGTTCATAACACTGTTGGTTGACTTTATGATTAATTAATGTTGCTACCAAACTAACCCGACTACCCACGTGAATGTGGTTCTAGGTCTTCCCTGAGAGCATTTATAATTGAAATGTCAACTATACTGACATAATTCCGTTTATTTAAAAATATATGGTGAATTGAAAAAGATTCCTGAGACACACATTAAACTGAGTTCCAATAGGCTTGGGGGTTTTATAGGCCCCCCTGAAGTTGTATGTAGAATACTGTACACGTGTGTCTGTGTATTTTTTTTTGGGGAAAACGTTTCTAATCTTCATTAGATTCCGAAGATATGTGGAGCCATTACCCTCTAAAGTCAACTAGGATCAATTAGGAATATACCTGGTTGATTCTTATACAGAACCCTCATTCTGCATTGTGATACTGTAGACTCCTCTGTGGGACTCAACTCTGGTCTCTTTTCCCTTGGGCATCTGCAGCCCCCAACAGCACTGCAAATGTAAATCCTCCATAACTGCTTGTGATCAGTGGGAATAATTTTCCCAGTATAAGCCTTGCCTGATTCGGTCATTTCAAGCACTGGAAAGGCCAATGACTAACTTGGCATCGTCCTAAAGAGAAACTTCTGCCTCCAAAGTCCTCTGCTTCCTTGTGTAGCACTTTCCTCAAGTCCCACCCAGCCTCAGTTTCCTCTCCTGTAATAAAAGCATCAGCTGTGGGATTGGTAAGATATCTTCCACATCAGCAAATTCCAAGAGTCTATCACATTAGGCAAACCCAAATTGGAAAGGACATAACAAGCTATTTGGAATGGATGCTAAGGGGCTTGTTCTAATTCGATTGTGCATTTCACATCTTAGGGCCTCCGGTGACTTTGACAGTTACCTTCCTGGCAGGGTCAATGGCTCCAGGCCAGTGCTGGGGACAGTGACTGGAAGTGGGCGTGGCGATTTTTCCCGACTTCCTTGTTTGGAGTAAACTTTGGTAACATTTGATGGCTAAGGGTTTGCCTTTCCATCTGTTGATGTGCTTTCTGGAAGCTCCCCCGTCTGCCAGAGAAAACATATCCAGAAGACGCACGACGCCAATTCAGCCATTCCTTTGTGTCCCCAAATCCCCCCAGCCTCCAAAGAGGCAGGGAGAAGCTGAAGCGGAAAACAGACGTGCCTGGGGCGCGCGGGCTCCGCGGTTGGTGGAGAGCCGCGTGGCCAGGCGGGGATCTAGGCGCCCACCCCCCTGCTCCGTCCACGCGCTCGGGCGCGCGTCCTCCCTTCCTGACACTCCTCCCGCCGCTTCAGGAACTCGGCTCGGAAATGGGGCAGTCGCTAGGGCTCCCGCCTCCGCCGAGCGCCTAGGGCTTTAGCGGTTGACGTTGAGTCCTCGCGCCTGTCTCCAGCGCGCCGCGGGGCTGAGAGTGATAGCGCGGCTGGCAGGGGGAGGATTCGCCGCCGAGCCCGGGGCTGCGCGCTCCGCCGCGGGGAGACCCCGGACGCCGCTGGCCGCGCAGCGAGGCCCCTGCCCGGCCGGCCGAGCCATGACGGACTCCAGCAACAGGAAGGAGGGCTTCAAAAAGTGCCGGAGCGCCACTTTCAGCATCGATGGCTACAGCTTCACCATCGGTGAGAACTTTCCACCCCCCTCTGACTCCTGGCTCAGGCTAACACCCTCTCGGGTGGCGGCTAGAGCTCCTTTCTAAGCGGGCAGGGGGAGCTCAGGGGTCGGGCTGGGGCCGGAGGGTGCTGGCCAGGCGGGAGTCCCCAGGAGCGGCGACGGGGTCTGTACTGGGTCGGGACAGAAGCCGCGCCCTGGGCTGTCCCCACCGCACCCCTTGCGGGCTCCCACCCGGCGTCGCGGGGAAGCTGGTTTTCAGCATCAAACCTTCCCGAACTGCTCGGTTTCCTGACCGTGATTTTAATAACGCAGGCCGGGGGAAAGGAGGGGTAGAACAGGGCTGGAGACGCCGCGATGGAGAGATGAAATAGGAATGCAGAGAGAGGGAGACAGCGACAGGAACATGTGGACATGATAGGCAGACAGAGCAGCAGGAACATCAGACACGGAGACACTGATAGAAACAACTAGACCCCAGAGATACAGAGACGGACGCCGAGACAGACTATTGGAGAGACAGGGATGTGGAGACAGTGGCAGAAACCAGAGAGGAGAGGCGGAGAGAGGCAGCGACCGGGAGAATTGGAGGGAGAGAGGGAGGGAGGGAGAGGGAGAGTGAACAATAGTTTCTATAACAGTTGAAACAAAGGAAAAAGGACACATGAAGAGAGAGAAGAGAACGGAGAGATTCAGAAAATACAAAGCAGAAAAAGAGGCCAATTCAGTCTCAGAGGGGACGCAGGGAGGGATGATCATATGTCCTGCTACCGAAAGTATTTGAGAAAAAGCTGTGGTGTTTCCGAGCTGCAGGTGGGGTTTCCCTCTCCTGCCCTTGGGGTTCCCAGTGGCCCCTGCTTTCTTTCCTCCTCAAGCCCTTCTCCAAGAGGGGGACGAGGGGGGAGTCGGGGGGGGTGTCCCTCAGGGAGCAGCAGGACCACAGGGTTGACCCTCTGGAGGTTTAGCATTTGAAGAGCTGGGTTCTTGATACTTCTACCTTCCGCCACACGTTGTGACTGTTTTGAAACAACTTGTCAGGAATTGCCTCCACATCTTCCTTGGAGGTGAGTAGAACCCAAGTCCCAGATGTCAGTCTTTGGAGAACAGCAGGACAGAGGCAGGAGCCGCCCGAATTCCTACTTTTGGAAGTACTCAAGTTACTGTGGCCTTAATCTGAACAGAATTCCAAAGCCTTTGAAAACGAGGGGGTAGATTATTTTGCTTTTTGTGGGCTGTGTCTGCTTGGATGTATATCGAGAAAATACCAAGGACAAGAAGACACCAAAAAAGGAGCTCATCTCAGGGCCAATTTTGTTCTTTATGAATTAGCCCAAGGTTTCTGGGGCATGGAGCGAACACTTGCCCTTCTCCAAATGTACCAAATCCCACCACTCTGAGCCTTTGCCCAGTCTGTTCCCGCAGGCAGGAATGCCGTTCTCCCAACTCAGCATTGAGAAATCTTGTCTGTGCTTCAGATCCCGGCTCTCATTTTCCACTTCCCCCACTCTCCTTCCCCATCACAAAGAATTTCTCCCTTGGCACCCCCTTCAGTCCCGGGGTTCTCTGTTGGAGCTCACACCCTGCCTCGAATCAGTGATTTAGGCACCTGTTGGTAGTCCTCATTGCATTAAAAGTTTCTTAAGGATGAGACTGCTTATTTATCTTTCCCTCTCAAATGGTGTTGGTAGGTGCTAAGGGAGTGTTTGTAGAAATGAATTAAAGGTTGCCAAAATCAAAAGTGTTTCATTAATAGGTCATTGTCATGTTAAATTGGTTTTCTTGGCTCTGGTAAGAAAATTCTCAAAAGTTATACCTGGTTGTTCTCATGAGATCTTATCCTCCAAAATGTGGCTTTCTAAAATCCAGGATCATACCGCAGTCCTCCTCCACCTGATATTTTCCCTCCGTGTTAGAAGAGGTGGTCTAGTAGATTGGTATGGTCTGGTGTCAGAAGAGACCCTAAGAATGAGCTGATTGCTTCCAGGTGATATAGCTGCCAGCTTATTTAAGATAGTTGAGAATGTATTCATTTGCTTCTTTCTAATTATTCTTTTTCTTCCCCCTTTCCACGGACATTTATTCAATTTCCTATATTAAGAGAAATAACTTAGCACAATGCCTGCCACGTGGCAAACATTCAATAAATAGTAATTATAATTATTCAAGGCACTAAGCTAATATCATCGGGAGTTTGTGAAGGTAAATCAGACTTAGAATCTGTGTTCAAGGAATTTGTATTCTTGGAGCGATGTGATATGTTCATACATAACCATTTTAAAAAGTAGAAATTAGTAAGTGCCAGAGAGACATTTAAGAAATTTTAGGCAAGTTTGGAAGAAAATACAATAGTAAAAAAGGAAGAAAGAAAAATCAGCTGTCATTTTATCATCCAGTGCTAAATATTAATATTTCTTCTATATACTTCCAACATGTGCATTTCTTTTTTACAAAATAAAATCATAATGTTTGAAAAATGTGTTACTTAAAAAAAAACCTTATTAGTTTTGTCTCATGCTATATATAAAGTATTTTAAAAATCAACTTCCTATTGTTGGCTATTTAGGTTACTTTTAATTGTCACCATAATAAACAGTGATTAAAAAATGAAATCTTTGGGTATATCCATGAGTCCTTTTATTTTAAAAAATTATTTGTTTATTTTTTTGAGAGAGTCGTGCTCTGTTTCAAAAAAAAAAAAGAAAATAAATAAAAATAATTTGCCCAGTGGTGCAACTGCAGTGGTGCAATCTCGGCTCACCACAACCTCTGCTTCCCAGGTTCAAGCAATTCGCCTCCTCAGCCTCCTGAGTAGCTGGGATTACAGGTGCACACCACCATGCCCAGCTAATTTTTGTATTTTTAGTGGAGATGGGGTTTTACCATGTTGGTCAGGCTGGTCTTGAACTCCTGACCTTGTGATCCGCTTGCCTTGGCCTCCCAAAGTGCTGGGATTACAGGTGTGAGCCACCACACCCGGCCATCCATGAGTACTTTTTAAAGATAACCTTTTAGAAGCTTAATTGCTTAGTCCAAGAGTATGAACATTTTTAGGAACTTTAAAACATATTGCTCAACTGCCTTGTGACAAGACAGCTTCTACTCCCACCAGCAACATTTCAACAGCTCTAAAAGGTAGCTGTTATGACCCTTGTTTTAGGAGAAGAAACTCCCAAGATTCCAGAGGAAGTAATTTGCCAGAAGACATACAGCTGGGCGGTGGCAGAGTGAGATTTAAACCACATCTGTCCTGACCCCTCAGCCCGAGATTTGTCTCACACATCATGCTGCCTGCCACAGTGGACTTTATTTCTGTTGGAGCCTTGGGACGAATCCATCATCCTGCAGCAGAGAGATCTGGGAGTTTGTCAGTTCTGCTTAACCAGCCCAGGCTGGAGCAAAACCAGAAAGAGATGGGACCATTGGTGCAGGTGGGACAGAGTTGCTGCTCCCTGGAGGAAGATCAGGTAGAAGAAACAAGCTTAGTTAATCTGCCTCTCACTGGGTTCCCTCAGTCTCATGCTTCCCTGTCCCAGGGCAAATGGTTTCGCATCCTCTTTATATAATTTTCTCAGGTCATGAAACGGGTATGTGGTCAGAGGTCTTGGAAACAAGACTATGAGACTGAACACGTGCCACATCCAGAAGCGCTGACTTTCAAAGCACCTTGGTACTTTGAAAGTTCCATCTCTGGGAAACCATTGAACTTATGATTGCAGCAAGTGATTATCTTGATGAGCATTAATCGAAGGCCCTATGTAGAAGTGGAAGTGTAAATTGACTCTGGTGAGGTAGTACTTGTGAAGGAGCATTTGCATATGAAGTGAATGATTCTGGTGCGTAGGTGCAGTACCTTGTATTTCAGAAGAACTTTCCTTCTGGAGTTTGGATGTCTATTTGGGTTTGTATTAAGTCATTCACAGATTCCTGCTTTCTCCAGAAGGCTGCCTGAAATACAAACAAACACCTCCCCCTCAAAGTGATGTATGTCTGCCAAAAACAAAAGCACATTTTTTTTAAAATCCCCTGAGTGGGCCCCACTCGCTCTCTTTTCATGCTTCTCCCCCTTCATTTCACAGATGAGAAAATGGGGCTGAGGGAGGACCCATCATATCCCTCCTTCCCTAGGTGATGGCCTGCAGGTGTCAGAAGGAGGTGGGTGAAACCAGAGGCTCAGAGGGATGTGAAGTTGGCAGAGTGAATGACAAAGAGGCTACTTCCTTCAAAAAATAGGTTCTATTAGTATTGTGGAAAATTCTAGGCCTGTACTGAAGAGGTGTTGCTAACAGAGAGATGTGTTTCCTGTAGCAATGGCCACTGGCTCTTCTGCCCTGTGTTTCTCTCCTTGGGTTGTCCCAGAGGAGGAAAAACAAGAAGCCCCGGACAGCAATTGGAGGCTTGAGGGGCTGGGAGTGGGGGTACCTTTGGACAGCGGGGTACAGAGGTGAAGCTGAAGGGAGGAGGTTTGCTGGTGGATGTTCCTCTTAGAGGGGATCCGGGCAGGGAGGGCTCTGTGGGTGGTGGAGGCCTGAGCGTCTTAGCTGCATGCGCTGGGGGTGTGGCCCACTCTCCAGCCCAGGCAGAGAGGCCCCTGGCCTCCCCTGGGGCATATGGCTGAGGACTTTCTTAGCCCAGACTGGTCTCTTGTGCTCTCTCAGCTGAGTGTCTTGTCTGCTTTCCATCTGCCTGCTTGTATGTCTGTCTGGGTGGAAGCAAGAACTTTGGACCTTTTACACCTGGTTGGGAATGATGGTGGGGAGAAAACAACCCAGTAAGGATCCCAGGTAAAATATTCTATGGCCACCTCCCAGTGCCCATGGACCTCATTCCCTCCCTCACTCATATCTCAGAGTCAGAGTCAGGTGCAGCAGGGAAGAGTGGGAAGAGGAGTCTGCAAACGGAGGCTTGTGGCCTCTGCTCTGCTGTTCATCCTCTTCCATTCTGCACTGTGGGCAAATCACATGATCTCTGAGCCTCAGTTTTGTCACATGTAAAATGGGGAGTAAGATCCTTA